TAGTTAGGAGAAATTAAAAAAATGAAAAAAAATACAAGAAATAAAATTAATAACACTCAGAAGAAATGAGACATTCTGTTAACTGAAAATATTTAAAAACCTAAAGAAATTGATTAACGCAGCTTTTACTTGCAACTTTTTTTGTGTTGATTGATATTATCAGTGTTGTGAAAAAATCCATCTTTTACGTGAAAAACCTGTAAACAGTGAGCCAAATGGGTCACTTTAGAGGAATTGCCTTATTTCTCGAAAATATATGAAAAGTTTATATGTTACATACTCGATTTTCGAGGAAAGTTAAACGGTGAAAAAAGAGATACAGGGCGTTTTTTAATTTTGGCTACTTTCTATGATGTTAATTAATGTGTGTAAAGCGTTTTTTTTACAATTTTTTAAGTAGAATTCAGCGGACTAAGCAATATTTTTCTATAATTTCCAGATTTTCAATTATATCGCAAACTTAATATTTTTAAAAAGGAACACATGTATTTTACTACTTTTGAAATTTGTGTAAAATTTCTTTCAAATGATGTATCATACACACAAAATAATTTTTTTTCAGACAGTTAATGTGCCACGGATGTTTTAATGTACGGACGAAAAAAAAATGGATTGTACACTGAATTGTACCAAAAAACGTTACAAAAAAAAATAATTTTTGGCATTTATACCTTGAAACATATTTTTGTGGAAATACATCTACTACATCATTTAAACAAAAATTTTATTCAGACTTCGAAAATAAAAAAATATATAGATTGTTCAATTTAAAGAAATAAATTTGTTATAACTGAAAAATGTTTATAAACAAAATCATAGAGCATAATAGAAAATGGCCAAAATTAAAAAACGTCGTGTATCTTTAAAAAAAAATCAAGAATTCTCATTCAACATTTCTCAAAATTCAAGCCTGTGACATCTAAACTACTTTTTTTCATATTTTCAAGAAAGGAGAAGCCTCCTAAGTGTCAAATTCGACCCACCCCGTACATAGTTTCTATCCTTTTCATTGTTGCTTTTCAACTAGTTTTCCAGCCTGTAAAAAATATATTTGGGAATAAAAACATTACCCAATGATACTGGAAATTTTTCCATTAACATATTTTTTATGGCCTAAACATAAAATTCAAAGGTTGCGTTGGAATGTTGTATATTGAAGAAACATTATTATAATAAACATTCAGTCATTTCCAAAAATATTCAATGTATCTTTGAAAATAAGAAAAATATATGTTGCCCACATTATATTATAAAAGGAATTATGAGAAAATAGCAGTAACTATTTCACAGTGTAGCGACATACATGATCAAAATAAAATTTTACTAAAACTTTCGCAAATATGAAATTGAAATAAAATCCACACATAATATAGTATACAGGGTGGTCACTTTTAAGGTTATCATTATTAGTATCTACTGAAGATATACAGGGTTGGATAAATTACAAATAAATTACATATTTTCATGACATTTCGGATTATGAAAAGAAATTGGAGCTAAGTTGCACCATTCCTCAAGTAAAGCTAAAAGAAATTAAAACTCGGTTTTCTTCCATATCTTTTTCATTATTCAAAATAGAGTAATGAAAATCGGTATGTATGTATGTATATACAGGGTGATTCATTAACAATGGGAAAATCGAAAGCTGAAGACACTACACGTGAAATGGTGACCATTGGCGCAAACATGCCTTATCCGAAAGTTGATAGTTACGGAAATACAGGGTGTTGAGTTAAAATTTTAAATCGTTTTTTTGCGATTATTCTGAAAATATCTAGGTTAGTTCCACTTTATTTAAGAAGAGACATGTGGTTCATGCACGACGGAGCTCCACCACATTTTTCTTGGCCAGTGCGTGCATATTTAGATGCAGTTTTTCCAAATCGCTGGATTGGCCATGTAATCATTTTTGATTAGCCATCCAGAAGTCCGGATTTCAATCCTCTTGATTTATCTATTTGATCTCGAATGAGATATAGTTTAAAAAGAATCTGTTGGCTCCTGTGAAGAGTTGTGGCAAAGTATACAAATCGCTGCCAACGAAGTCAGACGCAATCCCAATATGTCGTTTCAAACTTGAAGATCTCTCAGAAAACGTGTAGTGTATCAGTGTCGACGGTGGATTCTTCGAACAATTACTTTAAATCATAATTACGTATTTTATTTGTTTTATTGTTAATTGTTGTAATAACACGAAGAAACACTTGGTTTGTTTCGCTTTTAATTTCTCATATTATCGAAACATAGTGTAAGTTAAATCGAGTTTTCTCGAAAACGGATACGATTTAAAATTTTAACTTTCAACGCCCTGTATTTCTGAAACTATTAACTTTCAGATAAGGCACGTTTGCGCCAATGGTTACCATTTCACATGTAGTATCTTCAGCTTTCAACTTTCCCATTGTTAATGAATCACCCTGTATAAGGCAATATGCTCTATCTATTGCAAGGTTGAAACATCTTCCAAACCTCCTATATTCTTATGTTTTGATAACTAACTTTTGATATGGATGGGCGCCATATTGGATTTTTGCACTATTATATAAAGCATTAAATTTCTAGTTCAACGTTCAACGTTCAATGTATAATACTTTAGTGAAGAGATTTTATTAAAGGCCAAAAAATGACAATTTTATTATTTATTAAATTTTCGTAGTAGCCATTAAAAAACAAATGAAAATTTTGACATTTCTGTTTAAAAGTAAACAAACCATCATTTGCTGCTGTAAATAAGTGTTCAAGTGTTTTTAAAATTTATTTGTGTATCGAACGATTGCAAGTAAAAATAAAAGAAGTGCTTCAATCAATTCCACCGGAAACAATTCAAGATTTATTAAAAAACATAAGTTGTAGAATACTCCTTTGCATTGAACACAGAGAGAAATAATTTGAACAATTTATATAATTTATATTTACTTCTCTCTATTAATTATTAATTTGTTAATTTTTCATAATACAACGTAAAAGTGTCTAGCTTTTCACTTATTGAATATTGTGTCATTACAAATAAATAATAAAAACACATGAACACTTATTTACAACAGTAAAAGATAGTTTATTTACTTTTAAACAGAATGTTAAAATTTTCGTTTGTTTCTTCATGGCTACTACAATAAAATTGAATAAATAATAAAATTGGCATTTTTTAGCCTTTAGTAAAATCTCTTCGCCCAAGCATTATACATTATTGAACTCGAAATTTAGTGCTTCATCTAATGTTGCAAAAATCCAATATGGTGTCCACAAGAAAATCAAAAACTGATTACATAAGGATAAGGATCTAGGTCAGATGTTTCAACCTTGCAATAGATACAGCATATCGTTTGTTGTATACACAACGATTTTCATTACTCCGCTTTCAATAAAAAAGATATTGGAAGATATTAAGAAAAGACAAGTTTTAACTTTTTTCAATTTATTTCAGGAACAACTTACCCCCAATTTCTTTTAGATATACAAATTTTTTGTAATTTATCCAACTCTGTACATCTTCTAGTTCAGTACACCTTAAAAGTGAGCACCGTGTATATATGTAATTGACTGCTGTATTCTCAGAATACATATATTGAATTATTTTAAATTCGCATGAAAATAAATTCATTTGTTTTTTAAAGAACAATAAAGGAGTAACTATTTTTCTAATGCATTTTTTACCATTTCCAGACTAGTTAAAGAAACAGGTTAAAGAAATTTTTTTCCATATTTACTAAAATACATAAATCATAAAACTGAAATTTTCAAGAAAATGCAAAATACCAAATTTTCGGAATATGAGTATATATAACAATAGTTTACAAAAAAAATATTTAAAAGGGTATAATGCAACATGTTTGCTATATTATTTTTAAATAGGCCAGATTTATATTACACAATGTTATAAAAGATACTATTTTAATCCACATTTCCGTACTTTACCTGTTCACATATCAAAATTGTACTCAAGTATTCCTCGTAACCCACCTTTTTGATATTCCATATGATCCATTAATAAAAATACTACTTAAGTATCCAAAAAATGTTGAGATTAAAGTATTGCGCTCACCAATACCGTGATTTAAGCTGGAAGACGATTTACTAGTTGTATTCATGTCTGGTGGTTTTTTTTAGGTTCCACTCAGCTTCATGAAGAATTTCACACACAGAGGCCCTTTAGAGCCATTTTGGGAGCCTCTGTAAATTAACAATAATATTTGAGTATTTCTTAGGCACACCACGAACACAAGAACCGATTACGGATTAGGTTATTAGGTTTCCAAATTTTGATCTCGACATTTAAAATTTGGAAAACCTTCAGATACAATTGCAGAAATATGTCATAGGGTTGCCAACCTTGTAGATAGATATGTTAAAAAAAAACATATTCGTGCAAAAACTGTGACAAATGTATTTTTCGATTTTTAACATAAAATGATTGTACAGAACTAATTAGCCGAATAGTAATATATTTTGCAATTTGCAACTGTACTAGCTGTACCTTGCTTAATATATGAGATAGATATAACATTCTCGACAACTTGATGCTTAAGAATCCATCACAGCTTCATTATCCTAATTATTAATTAGATTGACAGCCCTATTAATGTAGCTAATAATTTTAGAGCATTTTAAATAATAATTACCTTGCCAAATGACTTTGTGGCAAAGACTATGTGGCAACTAGTCATGAACTACAATATTAAGTTACGTTTGGTTTACTAAAGACTAAATTGTCCTCTCTGAGTGAGCAAAAGAATACATAAAAAAATGTATATTACAGATGCTTGGAACCTCCAAATTTCCAAAATAGTTGATGTATTTTCTTTCTGGCTACCTAATGTATGATTATTAAAACTGCAGATTACAAATTTTTATAATCAAATTCAAGAGGAGACATTAACAACGCTTCCTCGAATTCATCATTGCATATTTTGTTACAAAAATATAATCAGATTAAATAGAAAAGGAAATTGTTATGCCTCAGAAGTCAATTTTTAATAGATAAATAGAATGGTACAACTTACTTGTTCGAGTTAACTTGGCGTATGTGGGTAAAGACATTGATCACGTCTCTAACCCTTCTCGGAGCTTCCTCTATCTTGGAAGCTAAGCAGACACAAGCCATCGCTGTGTGATCAACAGGATGGCGCACGAGGCTCTTTGAGTAATAAAACCGTTGTAATAGAACTTGCCCAGTAGCCATTGCCACCTACAAAATATCGGCCAAATTTATTAGAAAAATGACCTCCAATAACAATTTTAAGTCTATTAATAAACTTAATGTACCTGTGGTAATTTTAATAATATTCCTGCCGTCTGTATTAATTCACAACCATAAATTCGTAAATCTGTTTCTGTGTCACTACTCAAACCATCTATTTGAGACGGAGTTGGGGAAAGTTTTTCTTCTGGTAATAATTGATTTTTCAACGTAATCAATACTTTCCCATAAGGTTTGCCATTATTTTTAGAAGAATTTGATACAGGATCATTCTTTGTGGATCCCATTGTATTACGTTATAAAACGAAAGGTTTGCAAACGCACAACACAAAATCAAAATGTCGCCTTCTTACTATCTTGCTCTTGCATGATAATGAATGAAATATAAAAAAATGACAACGAACCACAAACGTATCATAAACCACAAATCATTGGAATGGAAGAAAATTATTAGTTGGCAACACACAATACCCTTACAGCATGTACTACATCGCGCCATTATTCCATGGCTAGAAATTGGCCTCAATGATTTGGGATCGAGGGGGATTATCCCTCTTTATCCTGCCTCATCTCGTGTAGGCCTGGACAGCCTTCGTGGGTGGGCCCCATCCGTCGTCTACCCCGACCGCAAATGCGGCCGGTGTAGGCGCTTTGTGGGACCTCCTTTTGTCCTGGCTGGGCCCCGCCGGCTAGGGCCCTTTCTTCTGGCGCTCTTCTTGATTCGCCGGCTCGTCTGTGTAAACCCCGGGGGTAGTGTCATGTTTATGTGTGGTATGGTTGGGTAGGATAGTGCGGCTATGCAGCCTGGGACGCGCTTTGCTAAGGTGGCCCTTAGCCCAGCGCGGGAGGGGAGGGGAAAGGAGGGTATGGGGGGTGTGTATGTGTCGTTGTCTTCGTTTCTTGATTCTGGCTGTCTCTGAAACAGAAAAGGTTAGGTTAGGTTGGGGGGGGAGTCGTTGGGGTGGTCACCCAGGGTCAAAAAGTTGGTGTCTAGGTCTTCTGTGTTTGTCGGTCACGTCGGGTACGTAGTCAACGGCTTGCCTGAGGAGGGGATTGTCATGTCTAGCGGCTACGTCAAATCGTTTCTCCGCGTTTTGTCTTATTGTCTGTGTAGCGTTTGTGTATTGTAAGTCTCGTAATATGTCAGTGTTTCTTACGTACCAGGGCGCGTCGGTGGCCGTGCGGAGGGCTATGTTTTCCACAGCCTGTAATGACTTTAAGTGGCTTTTTGCCGCGTGACCCCACGCCGTGGAGGCGTAGGTTAGCTGCGGTTGAAGTACCACCTTGATAAGCGTTCGCTTATTCCTTAAACTGAGGGTGTTTCCACCTTTGAGTAAGGGATAGAGCCTAGCCCTGGTGGTCTTCGCTCGCGCCACCGTCTCCACGATGTGCGGTTTCCACGTGAGACGCTGGTCCATCGTCACGCCCAGGTATCGTGTTTGTCGATTCCAGGAGATGGTTCCTGGGATAGTGTCAGTCTGTCGAGGTTTTGTGGGATTTTTCGTTTGGTAAAAAGGATAGCCGAACTTTTGTTGGGATTAATTTTGACTTTCCACCTGTTGCACCAGGTTTCAAGTTGGTCTAAGGAGTTTTGGAGGAGGGAGACGGAATATCTAGGATCTACGGATTGGGATGTGATTGTCAGGTCGTCGGCGTATAAGTATATGTTGGTGTTGGGGGGATGTGGGATGTCGGAGTTGTAAATGGTGTATAGGTGTGGGGACAGGACGGTGCCCTGGGGGACACCGGCCTCCATGGGACGGGTGGTGGAAAGGGAATCTTGGATTTGGATGCGGAATTTTCGGTGGTGTAGGTAGGATTTTATGAGTTTGGTAAAGGATATGGGATATTGGTTGGTGAGCATTTTCATCAGTAGGCCTTCATGCCAAACCGTATCGAAGGCCTTTGCGACGTCCAGGAAGACAGCACCAGTGTACTGTCCCCTGTTGAAGGCCGCCGTGATGTGCTCGGTAAGGCGAAGGATTTGGAGTTCAGTGGAGTGATTGGGTCGGAAGGCGAACTGCTCGTCTGGAATGACTTGCAGTTCTTGGGAGTGGGTTCTTAGACGGGTTAGGATAATTTTTTCTACCACTTTGCTCATAGCCGGGAGCAGGCTAATGGGCCGGTAGTTGGATGGGATGGTGTGATCTTTGTTGGGTTTTGGGATAAGGATTATGTTTGCTGTTTTCCAGCGGGTAGGGAAGTGTCTTAGTCTGAGTGTCGCGTTTGTTATGTTTAGTAGGGCCATGAGGCCCTTGTGTGGTAGTCGTTTAAGTGTCGTGTTATGTATATTGTCGGGTCCGGGGGCTTTTCTGTTTTTAAGTCTGCGTATTGTCAGTCTTAGTTCGTCAGGTGTTGCGGGGGGGATTATGTCATTGTCTGGCTCTCTGTCGACGCGTCGGGCCGCGCGCTCAGCCACTATCTCGAATTCCTCGTCTTCGTCGGGCAGCTGAGGCAGTCTACACTGCAGTTCCAGGCTATCGGCGAAAGCCTCGGCCTTTTCCTGGTTCGTGTAAACCACCCCCACACTACCGTGGATTGGAGGAATTTTACGGCGAGCGGTCTGTCGCAGGGCCCTCTGCGTTTTCCAGAGGCTGTTGTCTTGTGGATCCAGCGACTCCAGGTGCCTAGCCCAGTTGTCCTGGGCCAGTTCATCCAGAGCCGCCTTCACCCGTCTGTTAAGTACGTTTAAGTCTTGTCTGTGTCGGAGGAGATCGATTTGAGCATTTAAGATAATTCTGAGCACACCCTTTATTGGCACAACTGATATTCTTCTTTACCGGCATACATGAAACGTCATGAGTTGCATTTTCAGTTTTCTTTGACATTCAACTGAAAAGTGAAAACAAAGTAATTGTAGTTAAGTTTTTGGAAAGTGTAAGTCGGTGACTAAATTAAGTAAAAAGGTAGAATAATTACATCGATACATCATTGATAACTGAATGATTAATATACAGTTCTGTTAATTTTAAAGCATGGATCGCTTGTTACGTCTCGGTGGCGGTATGCCCGGGTTGAGCCAGGCACCACCCCCGTCTGATGCCCCCGTTGTCGACACTGCCGAACAAGTCTATATATCTTCCCTAGCCCTCCTGAAAATGTTGAAGCACGGACGTGCAGGAGTACCCATGGAAGTTATGGGTCTTATGTTAGGTATGCAATTTGAGGTTAAGATGACTTGCCCTTTTAACTTACGAAATTTCTAGGTGAATTTGTGGATGATTATACAGTTAGGGTAATAGACGTCTTTGCTATGCCCCAGACAGGCACAGGGGTGAGTGTAGAAGCAGTCGATCCAGTATTTCAGGCAAAAATGTTGGATATGTTGCGACAAACAGGTAGGCCTGAAATGGTGGTTGGGTGGTATCATTCTCACCCAGGTTTTGGGTGTTGGTTGTCTGGAGTGGATATTAACACACAACAGAGTTTCGAAGCTCTTTCAGAACGAGCTGTAGCTGTAGTCGTAGATCCCATACAGTCGGTCAAGGGAAAAGTTGTTATTGACGCTTTCAGGTGAGAATTTATTTTATTGTGCTTATAATATTTATTCATAAACAAAATGGGTCCTGACTCATAAATAAGCAAAAAAACTATTATTTTTTTAGATTAATAAATCCAAATATGATGGTTCTGGGTCAAGAACCGCGCCAAACAACATCAAATTTGGGTCACTTACAAAAACCATCAGTGCAAGCCCTGATCCACGGGTTGAATAGACACTACTACTCGATCAGTATAAACTACCGAAAAAACGAGCTCGAACAAAAGATGTTGCTCAATTTGCACAAAAAGTCCTGGATGGACGGCCTCACTTTAGCGGACTACTCCGACAATTGCAGTGTCAATGAAAGAACTGTCGCAGATATGTTAGACTTGGCGAAGAACTACAACAAAGCCCTGGAAGAAGAGGAGAAAATGACACCCGAGCAGTTGGCGATTAAAAACGTTGGCAAACAAGATCCAAAGAGACATTTGGAAGAAAAAGTCGACATTCTCATGACGAATAACATCGTGCAGTGTCTGGGATCCATGCTGGACACCGTTGTGTTCAAATGACTTTATTTATTTATATACCGTTTATTTCTATTTCACCAATTTGTAACATTAAATTATGTTTATACCGTATTTTTTCAATAAATTTAATTTCTTTTCGGGGTTTTGTTATCTTGTCACATTTTATGCTCCTCGCTAAAATTTTTTCCAGTTCTTTGTCAATTTTCTAGATATTTTGACGATTTTATTTTAAATAAAACGGAATATATTGACATCTGTACTAAATAGAAACTGAAAAAGAGATAAACAATCTTGGCATTATTACCAGTAAATACCTTCTTCCTTAAAAATAATTGCCACAATCGCTATCAGCTCTGCCCACAAAAATTCCCTAAAACTACCAATTGCAACAACCGAGTCACTAATGCGCATGGTAGCGAATATATATGGTTTGAGCAGCCTGATCCAATTTAACTATTCATGCGAATTAATCCGTCTGGAGCAGTTTGAGCCCTATAAATTTTTAGCGAATATATACGTCTGGAGCAGTGAAAGGGTTAAATTTGTCTTAAGAATTTATGACCAAATTTTGTTGTATGAATTTCGGGACACCCTTTATTGGAAATTATTACTATTGTTTTTATTCACACACAAGCTATCATTCGGCGTATTCAGAACTCTGTGCTTGCTGTTAGAAGCAAGAGGTTGTCCCAAATTATTTTTGGTTTATTCTTTAATATGAGACATCTTGACTTAATGTGACATACTGACGAGTTGAAATGAAAACACAAATTACTATTTTCTGAAGAATTTCAAATAACATCCTTTATTTTAGATTTTTAAAAAGGTGGTTGAAAATTTCCTTACTTTGTCGAGTTCTATATCGGGTTAAAAGGAATATCCTACCTTATGTCATACGAACACTAGGAACTTTTGTTTTTAAAATACGAGCTGTTAAAAGTTTTGGAAAAATGTTACATCTTTACATACCTTCCAAAGAAAAATATTAAGATGAAATTTACACAGCACAATTTGCATAAAAAGGGTAGTCAGTGTGCAGAAATTAATTCTCAACCCAAGCCAGTGGATATGATGTAAGTCGGTTACATTTTCCTTGAGAAAGTTATTCGGATTAAAAATGTTTAGTCATTTTTGAAATGCAAACTTTTATTTTGGATGGAGAATGGTCTAATGAATTTTACAGTGAGGAAATTTCTCTTGTATTTCCTACGGTACTGAACGAAAAATTTCTTGGGTTATAGATGCAAGAAGTGGACCCCTAGATCACCAGATCTGAATATTTTTTTTGGGGGGGATTATCTGCAGGTATAAGATGTCATAGCTTATATACATCCTGTTGTAGCATTAATACAAGAAAATGTGCTATAGATATATACATTATGCAAATGTTTGTTTTAACATAGGAGGGACCTATTCAACACATATACGGACGATATCTTGTTTTCTAATATTTGTTTTTAATTACGGTCAATTCCAAAATTTTGTCATCGTATTTGTTTTGTTTTAGCTGCCTAAATCAAGTCTTAAAAGCACGAGCTTCAATTTTTTTTTTAACCCTGGGTAAAGGGTGTATTTTAATGAAGGAACAGGAATATTAACAGATAATTTTGATACCAAAATAATTGGGATAAATATATCAATCCAAAGTTGCTGTTTGCAGGTTACAGGATTTGATATTCGAGATTATGTTTGACGTAAATTAATGAAACTTAAGCTAACTAAATAAAAGTCCATTGAATTTGTATACAATTATATCGATATGGACCAGGGATAGGTACTGGGAATACTGGAGATATTGGGAATGTCAGAATTTCAAATTCCTAAGAAAAAAATGTTTAAGTATATTTTTGTTGATTTTTGTAACAAATGCAGTAAGTAATTAACAATAATAAAAAAAGATTTACTTAGCAATTATAACAGATAGAAACATATTTCTATGTCACTGAATTTTTTGGACTCATAATGATTAATTTTAATGTTTCGAGTATGGGAGATTTTTTTTCTTTGAAATACAATTATGTATCAAATGAACATAACAAATTTCCAAAATAGTCAATTACAGCACATTTATAAGGTTTTTTAAAATTTATGAAAAGGCCTCAGATTTTGGACAATGTTTAAATAAACACATGCACCCCATTTCAAATTATTTCACTTACTAGTTTTTAAATTATTTAAAAAAATTAAAAATATTTTTTTGAGTTTAACACCCTGTATCTTTTTAACAAAGCGTTTTAGATAAAAACTTTATAGGAAAAACCCCTTAAAATTCACCAAAGAATACGAAGTTTCATTTTTGGTCACTTTTTGTGAATCACCCTATATGTGCCAAAAATTATTTTTCTACAATCATTTTGACTCACACATATAACGGGTTCTTTAGGTAATGCCCTGATGAAAAAATTTTACCTGAAACATATCTAATAATCACTTCATTTTTTTTTCGACGATTTCAAGGACACAATTACTTATTTTTTAAATGTGAACCAAGAAAATTTTTAACACACATTACATCCTGTATAAATTTCCTTCTCATCTTAAAGAAAACAGTCAAAAATTAAAACATTTATTTTTTAAATAAAAATACATAATCTAGATATACGTATACCGAAAAAATTAACCCATTATTAACAGAAATCCCCAACATGTTCAAAAATCAAACTAAACTCAGTCTTTCTCGTGTAGACTGTCCCTAGACTCCTCATCGGGAAGTTTCCTGTCACTTTTATGGCTTTCAGAATCCGATACTTCCTGTATAGAAACACCCCCCTCCCCCGTCTGACTGGTACTAGTTCCAGCTGATGTCTCACCTCTGGCAGTGGTAGGAACGGTACCGTCACCTCCTGATGACCCCGGATTGGCAACTTTCGGCTTTTGCTTGCTGTTATAAATGGGCAGTCTCTGTCTGTACGGTGGAGGATAAGGAGCCACCATCGGTATCCTAGGTGGGATGATAATGGGCGCTCCTGGCATCCTAGGGAAAAATGCTGGGGGGTAATAACGGGGGATACCCGGAAAGCCTGGACGGATTGGGCCGGGGATCCAGTATTCGCTACCTGGGATTCCCTAGAGAAAAAGAAACTTACAATAATTATACCAACATTTTATATAGGGTTTCCGCAAATTAATGCAGCAAAATTTGGTCACAGATTCTTCAGACAAATTTAGAGGACCCGTATTTTTTATTTTTGCCAAGTGGCCCCCTTTTTCAGAGATACAGCCCCCTGAAATCTGCCCCTAAGAATAATTTTTTTTTATTTATATCTCAAAACCCTGTTGTACGAGAATCACTAAATTTGGTACATGGGGGTTTTATGACATGTGGAATCTGATGGTGCTACGCTTTTTGGCTGGGAACCCCCTTAAGACAAATTTTCGTGCACCCCACAGTGGGAAATATTGGAAAAAATTCGAGCCACACGTCAAAACTAAACAAATAGTACCGATTTTTTTTTATTCTTTCCGAAATTACCTGTACCATAAAGTTGTGTCATCATTTTTAGGAAACGTAAGATGAACCTGGCGAGCTTGGTTGTAAATCAGAGACCGTCTCCAAAAAACAATTAAACAACAGTGGCGCGCACAGATGTAAAATATAGTACATATGTGGAATTGAAAAAACAAATTGGATTTATAATAAATTGCATTTAAAATAAATAGTTTATGAGAATAAAGGAATTTTTGAAGGAACAGGGGTGCCAAACGTAAACTGATCCCTTCATCCCTTCATAATGCATAAAGAAATTATTCAATTTCTAGACCCCTTAAAACCGTACTGTACTGTATCCCCTGACAGGCAATGATTTATTACTTTGCATCGAATATGATCCTACTATAGTTTTTGGAAATCTTCAAACACATTTTTCTCAGACATTTTATGAAATGTGAAAAAAAAAATTGTGAAAATCGATACATTTTAAACACTTGTAAAAACTTAAATTTTCGCAAATTTTATCCGCATTGAGGTATGAGCATATTGTCACCGAACCAGGGATTTTGCATTAAATCTAATGTAAAATAAGCACAAATCATTTCACGCACAGGGGGGCCTACAGAACATCGCTGTCAGCGGTAAACGGCGCTCAGTCTCCCATCGGACCGAAATTGGGTAGGCTGGCTCTCTATCGTCATACAAAAAAAGGTAGCCAGATACGATATCGCACGGCATAGCATTCGCAATAAAAAGAATTCAATTCATCCAATTCGTCCAGTTCCTTCAGTATCCAGTTTTCCGTGATAAATCGATTTTAGACGTTATTTCGGGCAACGCAGCAAATAAATCAACTCAATAACACTGCGCTCCAGACATGAATCGACTACTGACTTACGGACAGCGTTAAAACCATAAATTGGACTTTATTTTAACATCAAACAATCTTCTAAAGTTTTTGAGACTTCTTTACGAAAAGTCTCAACCCCAAAAGGAATTTGTACAAAAAAAAAGAAAGTAAGCAAATGAAAGTTATTTCGTCAAATTTTAATAAAAATTACTATTTTTCTCAGAGCAATACAACGTTTTACGCCTCCCCAGGAGTCTCACTAGCCGCGGATTCGACAAATTCGCGCAACGAAACCCAGCAGCGAAACGGAGGCATAGACAATATTTTTAGAAAACATATTAATAATACCGGACAACAATTTTGCTTTCAGATCAAAATTGCAGCCTCCACATTTCCCGAGAACAACCAACTCGGACGACAAGCTTCGAACAACAGCCCATAACTTTGGCATTTTCAACACATATGAATCGAAAAAAATTGTAAATGTAGTTCAATATACAGTAGAACCCCGATTATCCGTGCGTGGCTGATCCATCCGGTGGATTCTTCGTGCGCTGCAATATTTATGATCATCCGCTAATGAAGTTCCCCCCCCCTTAATTGCTGTATTTAATTTTTTTTAACTCACAAATGTCGTTCTATAGACAACTGCCCTTGGTAGAAACGATGGTAATAAATATGTCGTACTCCAGTAGAATTGCAACACGATCATCCTCATGAATTATCACAATACTTATGTATGCTAAACAATTAAAAACCAAATGGAAAAACCTAGAGAAAAGTAACGTAATAGAAAAAACATTTGCGACGACCAACAAGCATCATACCAAACTTTTGTATATCAATTAGAAGATTTTGATAAATTTTTTTTCTCGAAAAAGGTTATAAAAGATTTTTTTTGACTATTTTGATGTGTACTGTTTATTAAAATTATGGCAACCAAACTTCTAACACGCCTGAAAACAAAGTTTGCTATCTAGGAAGAAAGAAAAAATTACCTCATAAAATGCAAATTCCGGTTCCCTCTCTTCATGGGGAGACCTACTCCTACGTTTTCTGGGCGAACGACTTCTGCTCCTTCTATATTTGTGATACTCCCTGTCTCTATCGTATCCTGGAGATCTACTTGTACGCCTATGACTGCTTCTACTAAAAGTGACTAACGGCGGGTGCGGAGACCTACGTCGTTTATCTGGAGAGGATCTGTGGCCATCGTGCCGACCTGGTGAACGACTATACCTCCTCAGTGGGTATCGTTCGTATCTACCAGGCGAGCTAAAAGCCAAGAAGAAATAAGGCTTTCATGGTTAAATTCATGCTTAGGAAAGTAACTTACCTTCTGCTCCTGCCACTCTCCACGTATCGAGGAGATCTAGATCTCCTTCTCTCCCTCTCGTATCTAGAAGGACTTCTGCTCCTCCTCTTACCGGAATCCTTATAACCTGGCGACGGTTCTCTTCCTCGCTTATCGCCGTAATGTGATCTCCCTGGCTTTGTCGGAGATTTTGATCTCCTACTCTTTGACGTTTCATATCTCGGAGATTTCTGTCTGTCCCTCGAAGGTGTAACGGACCTTCTCGGTGACCTGCTGGGTTTTCTGGAGGTAGAAGGCTTATGGTAGTCGACAGAAACTGACCTGCTTCTTCTGGAATGTGTCCTGAAGATGTACAGCGTCATTCACGTAACATTCTATACCCCTCTTTTACTTCTCTATCTAATGAAAAATGAATAGACCAAAGACTTACAAAAATTTTTCGAGATTTCAAAGAAATGTATTTAAAAAAAATCAATTTACTGTTATATTTCAAAGATTAAACGTTTGCTTTTTTTAAACGGAATACCCTATATATTTCTCTTTTTTTTAATCCCTCTCTTTGTGTCAAAGCATATACAGGGTGTTCCTAAATAAGTGTCGCAACGGAAAACTGTAAATTCCTCGTGAAAAAAGAAACATTCTTTTCCTCTTCCATTTTTCTCTTCGGGCTTTTGTTTTCGAGATACACAGTGTCTAAACTTTCATTTTTTTTAAATTTTTTGCCAATATCTTAGGAACCGTTTGAACTACAGGACTGATTTTTTGTACACGCATTACCACTATTAATTGCTACTTTTTCGCACCCTTATCGAATTCATTGAACGTGCCAGTGGTGGAGATTTTAAGGTATCGTAAGGGTTTTTCCCCCCTCAAACTTTTACGCCACTGGAAAAATTGACATTTGACAGCAAATTCTGAAGCACCAATGAATTTTACACAAAAAGAGTTCTCTTGGTTCATTGATCTAAAGTCAACCGTTTTCAAGAAAAATGACTTTTTATGAACAAAAACAAACATTTTGCTAACGTTTCGAAAATCTTTTGAAATTCAAAAGATAGATAGTAATAATTAACAATTTTAACGAAATTTAACAACATTTGCAACAAGTAGCTATTAATAGTGGTAATGTGTGTACAAAAGCTCAGTCCTGTAGTTCAAACAGTTCCTAAGATATTGGCAAAAATCTGAAAAAAAGTTTTGACACCGTGTATCTCGAAAACGAAAGCCCGGAGAGAAATATGGAAGAGGAAAAGAATGTTTCTCATTTCAAGAGGAATTTACAGTTTTCCGTTGCGACACTTATTTAGGAACACCCTGTATATATGACATGTATATACAACTGTAATTAGAATGAGGAGAGGATTCCAAAAAGCAACTAATATACAGGGTGTTCCACTAAAAAATAACAAAAGTATGGCTTGTACCTTCAAAATACAATAGTCAATTGTTTTCTTAAATATTTCCTTGAAATCTCAAAAAAATTTCCTAAAACTTTGGTCTTTACCATTTTTTCCAAGACAGAAAAATTTAAAAAACGAGAGGTACAACAAAAAAATAGTATCAATAGTACATAAATTATAAAGCCTCAACTAGGTAAGGTAATAACACAAATGCTATAAATGTACATATAGTCCAAACAATATTGCCCCGTAGCGCATACTGCAGATTTAGTTATAAATAAAACAAAACTGTATAAAATTTTATGAAAAATGTTTCATTAATATTTATCTTATAAGAAATTAAATTAAAAAGTAAATGTTGCCTGTTCAGAAGATTTTAAAATAGCATATTATTACAAAATGATAACTAATAAAATAATCATTATAATAATGATAATGATGTGGAAATAAAGGGTTAGACAGAATGAAGTATACATTTTAAATTTGGTCGTTTTAAATAGTGACAAAATTTTTATTCAAAAATCAAACAAAAGGATTTATTTCCATGTAGTAGAATGACGCTCACAGGAAAACCTTTTTTGAAACCTAAGCAGCTGAGAGAAGTATCAGCAAGGAAGCTTTTGGACTTTATTAAGAACACAGTTGCTTGCTGAATAGGTTGGTTGGAACACAGAGAGATGATATGCCTGATAAGGCTCTGGTGCTACTGAACTTGAATAGAACCATCCTCGGTGATGATTTTGTCAAATAAGTTCTCCTCCACACCCAAGTGGTCCAACAAGTCAGGGCAAGTGCCGTCTTTGATTAGAAATCAATAAACGGGAGACCAATTGTGCCACGATTCATCCCTTTTGTAAATATTCGGCTAAAATGTTTTGCACGGAACTCCACGAAAGGCCAAATAATTCAACAAGTACATCAATAGTATCCTTGTACGTGGAAAGCCGACCTGAGTGTTGAATATCTTCGATTGACATGTCGCCGCATTTGAATCACCACTCATACACTTGAGTTCTTTTAAGGTATGTTCTTTATATGCTGTAGACAATATATCAGCCACGTCTGATACACTTTTAACGAGCAGAAAACAAAATTTGAGTGCCGCATGCTGTTCTCGAATATCAGCCATATTAAAAAATCGAAGACATCGAAATAGTGGTACGAAAACTGTCTCAGAGGCGCGCTACAACCGTTTCAAGTGATGCCACTTGGCAGACTGACTTAGGAGGGGTTACATAATATCTATCTAGCGGGAGAAGCCCGAATTACAAAAGCAGCATACGCAATGAATTTCATCTGGTTATAGACCAGGGCGGATCTGTCGACATATCGCACTTCTTGGAGGGGGCAAGCTAATATTGGCTGGAATTCCTTCAGTACAACTCACATAATAAAAGTGTAGATCCCTATATCTGGGCGAGATCCGGAGCATTTTCAAAATTCCAAAAATGTTTAAAAAATTTTAAAAATGCCTATTTTATCTGAGTTTTTTACTGATATCTTAGAACCTATGCATTTTGGAAGAATATTGAAGAGGAAAAAAGTTTTAGAATTGAATTTTGCACAATATACTGAAAGTTAAAAATGTTTAAATTTGTTACCGATGTTGCAAAATAGCAATAATTGAAAAAAGGCAAACACAAGTTTTTTGGATAATTTTTTTTAAATGTTTTAATTGCTCCAAGGGCATTCTAATTTTGGTAAAAAAAACTTTATAGTATAATAAAGCAACACACCAAATTTCATTAAAATCGGTGCTATAGTTTTCGCAAAATATATTTTTTAATTTTGAAATTTTTTTTTCGAATTTTCAACATTTTTTACAGCCTCAAATAAAGCATCTAGATCAGGAGTCGGCAACTGGCGGATCGCTGTCCAGGTCTGGACCACGGAAGGTAAAATACTGGACCGCCAAAAATTATTTTAAAATGAGTGATTTGAGTTCTTCATGGTTAGTAGATAGATTAAATTTGTGCAAATTAAAAAAAAATAGTAATATTTTTTGGACCTCGTTAAAATTTTTCAAAAGTATCCGGACCCCACCTAAAATTACTTTCAATTCGTTTTTGAAAAATTGAAATCGGTTGATTAGGCTACAGTAAATTTTTAAAGTTAACACTCGTTTTTTTTATTTTTAAACAATTAGATTACATTCATCAATTTGCAATATAGTTTTTTTCACAAATTATAATTTTAAAGTACTCGGAAAGCCCCCATCCCCTACTTTTCGTGTTTTGAGTCACTTTTCACGCATGCGAGAAACAGCTTTTCGGCTGATTTATCTATGTTGCCGATAACTTATAGATTTGAAAATTTTTTCCATCTTAAACTAAGAAAAATTTTTTCCAGCTTACACTCAGAAATACAAAGTCACTGGATCTAAGATTATTGCTAAATTGTTTATAAATTAACGGTAAATGCCGATAAACTTTGATCGCTTATATCTCAAGAACCTATAAACGGAGTTTAATTTTTTCTTTTAAAAGAGGTGCCTTTTCGAGTACTTTAAAATTGTAATTTGTGAAAAAAACTAAATTGCAAATCAATAAATAATCTAATTGTTTAAAAATAAAAAAAAAAGTGCTCACTTTAAAAATTTACTGTGCTGTACTAATCAACCGATTTCAATTTTTCAAAAACCATTTGAAAGGTTGAGCGGTCTTTTCTATGTGAAAAAATTTTCAAGTATCTAGATACTTTATTTGAAGCTGTCCAAAATTTTGAAAATTCGAAATTTTTTTTTATTTTATACAAAAAATTATTTTGCGAAAACTATCAAACCGATTTTAATGAAATTTGGTCCACCTCAAAACAGACCCGCCCTGACCTATTATTTTTGGGTCCCCCCTCATATAACCGAACTCCATTGCTTGTCACATTTATTATTTTTAATTATTGCACTACTTACCAATAACATTTCATTTAAAAATTAAATTTACCTGTATTTATCTCGAGTATGGTCCCTCTCCCTTGAACCGGACCTGCGTCTGGACTCAGAGTGTGACGGTCTGTACTCCCCAGGTCTCAAAGGAGTTCTAGATCTCCTCCTATATCTTTCCTCCTCACGATCCTTAGAATGAGGCCTACCCTTGTACGGTCTTTTATCTCTGTCCCTCTCCGAACTCCTCTCTTTCTCTCTGTCAGGAACTCTCCCTCGTTCTTTCTCCAAGCTTCTCCGAGGATCCACACTTTTTTTATCTCTGTCGATATTTTTATCCCTATCTCTTTCTCTATCTCCAATTTTACGTCTGTCTCTGTCGGTGGTCCTGCTGCGCGATCTGCTTCTGCTCCGTCTTCTCGGAGTGCCCGAATGGGAGCGACTGTATGTTACGGAGTTGTGGGGCTGCCTAGTCCCCGATCTGTCGGTTTCCGTTGACACAAACCGTTCCTCTGGATTGACGACAATATCGTCCCGATCAAAAATACCCCTAGGTCTTCTCTCTTCATCTGAAATGGTATAAATACTTTAATTGTATTGCAATCTGAACGTTCAATCTTAAATCTAAATTTACAAAAATGAAAATTATAAATTTAAAATTTTTTATTATATTGTGTATTTCTATAAGCATGTCTATGAGCTTCTGTTTCTTTTTCATCTTCATGTATTGCTTCTTTCTTCAAGTTCTTCAATTCAATTTTAAAAAAAATCATATGAATTCAATTTAAAAATTATAACAAATGGAAATTGACATTAAGTAAAGATTTACATGGATAAATTTCTATATGAATGACTCCTTTAGTTACTCATTTTTCTAATACAAAAAAATAATGAAATATTCATACTTTCTTCACCATGACTATCTTCATCTTGCGTTGAGTTTATCTTCGATTTATGCAGGTCTTCAGTTCTTCTTTATAGTCTTTCTCTTATATTTTTAAGTGACAGCAAATTAATTCTTTAATTACTTATTTCTACGTTATTACCTATAAAAAGTAAAATTTGTAAAATGAAAATTACTTACAATCAACAACAGTAATGACGTTTTGAAAATTCTGCATTGAATGTCTTCTTCATTCTTGGAATGACTTGAAAAAATGTCGTTACAGCAGAACCCATCTTTTAAAATCATTTTCTTTCTTAAGTTTGCTTTGATGCGTTGTAAGGTTTTCTTATTTTCTTGAAGTAATTGAAAAAACCTACAGGATTTATAGAAATATACTATATTAAATGATGTACATAAACAAATATATGTTTAACGAATAAATTATGATTAATGTGAGGTCTGACAAAGCGCCAAGTATTTTTTGTCAATCCCCACTTAACAGCACATTACAAATTTCTTATTTCTAGCAATTTCAATCAACGAACAATAACCTGAAAGAAATAAAAAAATATAATGCACAATAATAAACAAATATATAGGATCCAAAAAGTTCTGTTATTATAAAAACAAATAAGTATTTTTTAAGCCTTATAAATAACTGATAACTTTTTGAATATGTAGCAAAAATTATCGATATATAGACATTTGCTACGTGTCACATTATTTAAATGATAAAATAATCTGACTTAAAGAATACCTAAACTGTGGTTTTTATTGATAAATTAATAAACTTATTTTATACCAGATTCTATAAATATCTACTTCTAAAGAAATACTTTTTTTATCAGAACAGTTACAGGCANATATATATATTTTTTTATAAGTAAATATATTTGATTATTTCTTTTTGCTCATTTTAATACCGTTCGTCAACCAATCTAGACATAAAGTGTCACAGACAGGAAAAGGATTTGTAAATTCTCTAATAGATAAAATACCGTTTGAATTACATTTACCGGGCTATCAGTATTGTGGACCTGGTACAAAATTTAAAAAACGGATTGCACGTGGTGACGAAGATATTAATGAACTTGATAAATTATGTATGACTCATGACCAAAGCTACGAGAATTATAAAGATTTACCAACACGACATAAAGCAGATTATGAACTAGAACAACGTGCATGGAACAGAGTGAAATCAAAGGACGCTAATTTGAAAGAAAAGGCAAGTGCTTGGTTAGTTACGAATATAATGAAGGCGAAACAACGTCTAGGCATGGGTTGTAAATCCAAATCAGTTACCAAAAGGAAGACAAATAAAAAGAAGAAGAAGAATATTAAAAAAGTCAACTTTGGGGGTGCCATTGTTCACAAAGTACGACATGAAATACGAAAAGCTGGTGGTAAACGTTTCGTTTCTAATAACGCACAAAAAGCAACACAATACGCTTTGCGAGCAGCACGAAAGTATGTGAAATCATCGGGTGGTAAAAGAAATATTTGCACCCCACGAATTATACCGATCCCGAAAGTTGGTGGAGTTTTACCCATAAAATATATAATAGAAGAAAACGGAGCACCTAAGAAAAAGAGAGAAACAGAACCGTAGCGAAACTACCGGCCGTCAGGGTGAACTAAAAAGGCCTTCGATGGCAGGCCGGCCTTGATGATACATAACTGGGTCATTTCGCTTTTATTATACAGGGTGGCTTGTAATAAAGGATTGCAAGTAATATTTCTGTCACAAATAACCGAAATAATTTTTAAAGTAAAAATATTGATATTAAATATGAATTCATAAATTCAGTTATAATACCAATAAAACATTTGAAAAATGTTGATATCAACAATGAATTTAATAAATTCATATTCACAATTTTGTGTACTTTAAATTACATCAATTATTGGCGTCAGAAATACTACCTGCTGAGATAGGTAAAACTACTAGGTATTATTGAAAATATATTTAAATGTAACGATTTTTAATGAATAGTTATAGAAAAAAATAGGTACACGTAAATTATATGAACACGGTGAGAGTTCATAATCAAACAAAATTGTTAGAATACACATGAATTACATAGCACATTAACCACTTGAACGCCTTGATCCGTTACGAGAAGTGCACTCTTTGCTGGCGTTATCCCTTTTTGACCTAGCATATTCGTCATATTCAGTTTACAATAGAATTGTGGTTGTCACAAACAGTATACTGCATTTAAATTTTAAGAAAATAAAAACAGAACAAATATAATATTAAAATTGTTGCAAATACATATAATTCTTGCAATCAGTATATAGAGAAGGAATTCGGATTCTCGTGTTACCGGTAAACGGAAAAATGGGACAAGCAATACCTGAATATGTACACATAACCTCAAGCGGTTCTGACTCTATTTCAGTTAATATATTGCTAAATCGTTATAAATATGTATGTAAAACTCGTGAAACATATGAGATACAATAATATTCCCGTTCAAAGATCTACACCGTTATGAACAAAACAACTTATACCACACTAGTAGCTATCGATCTTCATAGATAATAGATATGCACAAGCAAACTTTTCCATCGTAAGCAGACACAAATTATTTAGCAGCGTATATACCCGTCATAATCACTATTTATTTATTGACTTTGCTCATGCCAATTATATACATCATAAGCATTCAAGAGATTAAACAACAGGTTGGTAAATGCCTTATAACAAATTCGAGGAAATCTTTGAAAAAACAATGTGAAACCAAGAATTTTTTCAATTTCCGAGAATTTATTATACACTTAGGAGACATATCTTATATTTATTTTTTTTCACGATTGAAAAATGTTTTCATGAAAATGTATTTAAAAATTGCAAAACAATTTAAACTCTGCATGTGTATAGTTAACATTACAAATTATTACATGGTAAATTCTACTTATAGGGCTTGTCAAGCATCTGACAGTAATAAAATAATCTCAATCGTGTGAAAACATTTTTAATTATTACATTTTTCTATACTGACATCTTTCTCAAAATGAATTTCAAAACTAATTTAGATTTTATCTCACTGAATTAAAATTTATGAAGTAAGATAATTAAAGCTAAGCTTTAATTTTTTGTCAAAATTAGAAAAAAATCACATTTGATATTACATACTTTACGATACATGATTTTATGCAACTCGTGTGATATTCCGGGATCTCACTTCACTTGTCCCACAAATTCACCCCTTAAACAAAGTCACACTCCCTAAGTGCTTACATAGTTATAATTCAAATGTAGGCAGTTAATAAATGCTTAGATTTATGGTGCGGATAAACCCCAGCAATGATTGCCCGGTGATGGATATTTAACATTCGGCATTAAAAAACGCTTTAATTAAATTCATTGTAATATATTCTGGTAACGATCATTAGCTGTCATTGTCGATGTTCGTCAACACCTTAAAAACCAAGCCTTAAATTAAGATATGCCTCCCTTGTAATTTTGTGTGTACAGCTATTTTCTTATAAATATATAAAATTTTTTAAAATATACAATTTTAACGTAAAAACAAACATTATATATGAAAATATAATTCAGCCACAGAAAATAATTTTATTCTCTATAATTTTACTCATGAATTATAGATATATTGAAATTGTAATTTTATAGTGATAATCATATTTTTAAAGATACAATACAACTTGGATACCTAACGTTATCGCCAACCACTTTCTACTCTCGTATTCCATTTTGAAACATTTTATTTCCTAACCATTATTAATTTTCTCTTAATGTTCTCCAAAGCCTTCACTGAAAAAAAATTAAAAACAAATTATCAGTTATACAGAAATGAGGTCCTATTATACAAAGTTCAACAATATTTACTTTTTATTTTTTTAGTTATTTATTACTTTACGCTAACAATTTCAGGGTGATAAAAAAATGGAAGAAATATATTAAAGAGAGATATAACACTATCAAGTTTATTTACTTATTATATGATTTAGTTAAAAATATTAATATGTACAAGGCAAATATGGATGAAATAAGTTATAAAAATTTGTTTAAAACGATTTCAAAATCTTCAATAGATATCGATTATCAATTAGAGCAGAGTGATTATAAAAGTATTAACTACTAATTAAACATAGATACGTACTAGGACATTTCTTTTTATGCATCATCCAATTTCGTCATAGAACTCCCCAAAAAGTACATTACTATTTATATGTCCACGACTCAAGAACTTCAATAAATTTCATTTGCTTAATATCCATTATAGTTCATTCAGAAGGAAGTTTTTCTTTTCAAATGCCAAGTATACTGCAAAAGAGATTTTTTTACTGCACAAATTTTATAGAATATTTTAAATTACTGAATAAGAAAAATATTTCGTCGCCGTCTTCAAAATATGACGTGAACTTCATCAAATTGTTCAGTGGAGTTAAGAAACTGTTTCTTGACTTTTTTATTCAAAAATTACAATTTTTTATTTCACCGCATACAGTCACAATTCTGTAAAAAATAAGATAGCTGTTTTTTAACATATTATGCGTTTTGATGTTGTTTATCGAATGTGCAGAACTTAACGCGTTTTACTGAACATATACACGTCGCATTTTGAAGACGTAACGACGATATAAACTTACCAGACATTTGGTCTGGAACTTCGAGTATCAAGTCAATAGAGAATCTTGATTTTTTTTGGCAGGCAGGAAAGAATTATTTATTGATACGTTTTTCTTCTCTGTTTAACTAAAATCGATACTATGCTCTACAACAGCTACCGTATCTTAAATATAACACATGTTGTGGTAATCGACAACATAGATGATATTGAAACACAGAGGTTTTATCATTCAGTGAACATGTTCTTTCTTGAATTTTTCAGTTTCCTGCTAATAATTCTTCATATTTTGCTTCTCTTAAATATTGCACTTGAAAACAGTATCTACAAAGATGCTTGCATTAGTAAATAATTACATATATTACTTTGGAGTTTATTCCATCAGAAAAATATTGCAAATTATTGTAGAATATAAAACATAAACATATTTTTCTTTATCAAATATATTTAAGTGGATAATAAATTGTATGCATCAGATCAGTAATAATTATTAATACTCACCAAAATATTAACTATGCTAGCCTTCTCGTTAGATCTTCCAACTTTATGGTATTCTTTCCAGCAATACTCTGTAAATATTTTTTAGAACAGCCTTGAATTGTGTCTCTTGCAAGTTCATATAGCATATGTATCAATAACTGTCTGTCTTAGAGAATTTTTGTCTAGATTACAACTCGAGCCAACCTAAAAAAAAATGTCCATTACTTTATGCGTTCTTATGTTAATTATTATATAATGTATTTTGTAGTACGTAAATGCATGAAACTAACGGTGTTGGTTGCTTTGAATCTAATGTAAATTATTTAACATTACAATTTATTTATAAAAAAGTTTATCATTTAGAAACAATCGCTTTGGTGCTTGCCCGAGAGCTTGCCATATATAATAAATAATATAAAATTTACCTTATAATGTGCATTCTTGCCATCACAGTAAAACAAATTTAAGTCAGACGATAGAAACTAATCGCTGTACTACTCCTGGAAAACTACTCCAGCTATGTGATGATAAACAATTTGTCAGGAACTAATTACTGTCTAATGAATTGTCAAGAACCAAAGGTCGGAAGAGAGGCTGGACATTACACTGCTTACATTCCAATTCTACTTCACACCCTTGGGTAGCCGTAATACAATATAGTGTACCATATTCCACTTCTTTTCTATTTTAATCTAATCGCTGATGAACGTGGCAATTATAAATATCTGTAAATAAGTTTCTTTAAATTATACGAAGATTTTAATTTCATTACTATCACATTTGTTAAACATACTTCCATTTAGGAGTTTTATCAAAATTATATTTTTGTATTCTCAAATGTTTGAACTAAATTAAAACAAATCACACTAAATGGATTGTCATTTCAATACCGTAATAGATTTTATTAAACAAAAGATTAATATGTTTTGTGTGAGAAGAAAATTACTGAAAGTTAATACAACGTTTTTTTTACGTATATAAATGGAAGTGTAAATAGGTATTAATGTTTTTCTTCCTAATATGAAATATATAAACAAATGCATTTCTAAAAATGTCATTTATTATTTTCAAAAGTTGGATAATCTAGATAATAAACATAGGAATAATAATCAAAATTTAAATTTACCCTGAAATTCACACCAAAACAAAACCGACATATTTCCGACAGATGACAGAAATTCTGGATCGCGCTGTTTCCGATTTACGAATATTTTGTGACAAATTTGATAAGAACCAATGGTTAACTAAATAAATCTGTCAGGGTGCAATCGTCATCCAGCAGGCTGTCAGCCACCAATCATAAAAACCTTGTCAGGCCGGAAGTGATGTCACGTTGCTCATATCCCCATTCTAGTTTCACCCCCATGGTTTTACACCTAATTCCAATATTTGCAGGACTATCGGCGTTGGGAAGTTTAGCTGGCTATGCTGCAGGTATATAAAACAATCAACGAAGTGAGAAATGCCAATCAACGACTATCTGAAAAAACAAATAATAAAAAAATTGAATCTGTATCCCTGGGAAAGAATGGCGAAGGATTATATTTAAAACCATATCGAACAGGTTTAGGGCTTTATTTGAACCCAAGCAATTCAAAAAACTTCTAAAGTCTCTACCTCGAAGAGCTCTCAGCAATATAGATATTATCTATTATGCAGATATCTTAAAAATTCCACATTTTCGAGGTGTATTTATGCGAGACAATCTTCCTGAGAGAGGTGCCCGACATAATGAATCGGCTGTTTTGAATTTAGATAGTATACATGGTCAGGGAACTCACTGGGTGGCATACAAGAAAATCGGTAACATTATTAATTACTACGGTAGTTTTGGAGATCTTCCCCCACCCAAGAGCTTGTAAAATATTTCTACATAAAATCAAATCCAAAAATAAAAATTTATTATAGTTACGAGCGTCAACAGAGCTACAATACAGTGTGGTGTGGACATTTGTGTTTAAAATTTCTGAATAATAATGGATTGTGCAACAACACCAAATCAAGAACGTGAAAAAATTAAAAGGATGGCTGATTCTGTACGAGCTTTCTCCAAGCATCGAACTCTTACAAAATTGACTAAGGAACAATTAGCGGATTTTCCTAAAGAGGTTATGATTACATGTGCTTCCAATGAAATCGCATGGGTGTGGGATAAATTACCGGAACATCTAAAAAATGACATTGATATATTGAAATATCAATACTGTTTGGAACATCACAATGACGATAACACATCCCAGTCTGTTGATGTGAATGATGGACCTGCACCAAGAAAATTTTTGTGCTGTTATTGCAATGTACGTGATATTACAGTAGCATCCGAGAATAATCTTACTGCAAGGGTTAATATGACGTTCCCCCCAACATCAAGAGATGAAGTACATCTGAATTGTTGCTGTAAACAACAATAAAATAAAGTGTTAACAAGTTATATGCGTTAGTCATGTCCCGTACATTCACATTATCTGGACACTCGAGCGTGCTAAGCTCTAACTTCTACCCCCCAATTGAGCTGGACACAAGTTGTCGATATGGATTGGGACTACACGGATTCTACTCATACAATTCGATATTAAATGTTGATGAGAAAAATAATGTTATTGGATTCAAATTGAAGAATAAATTACCTACTACTTTTATTGAACTACCGCCAGGAGCTTATGAGCTTAATGAAATAAATAAGCAATTCAAGGTATTTTAGAACTATAATAAGACGCAATGTCAAGGACGACAATTTTATAATTGATAAATATTTTACATTAAGAGCCAACAATAACACTCTGAAATGTGAAATTGTATCGAGATATGATATCGACTTGGCTCATCAGCATTCATTAGCAAGCATATTAGGATTTGAAAACAAGTTATATGGTGGTAATATTGCACACAAATCTTCGCTACCAGTAGACATTATGAAAGTAAGAATAATTCGTATTGACTGCAACATCGTATCCGGAGCATATGTGAATGGAGAAGAAGTCCACACTCTATACGAATTTGATATAGATGTCGGACCAGGCTTCAAACTGTCCAAGGAACCTCAGAATATTATTTATATACCTATAAGACCTGAAGGACGTCAGTTTATCGACAACATTACATTACGTATATTGGATGATAATGGTATTCTAGTAGATTTTCGTAGTGAGAAAATTATTGTGAAACTAGAACTAAAGGAATGAAATTGATATATCGATACGGAATGGGGTTTTGTTTTAATCATAGAAAACAATCATCATCGTCATCGTTATCATCATCAACACAAGTAAAAAGTGATAAAATTTTCAGCACATACGAGAACAAATTTATTCCAAGCAAGAACGTTAAACTGTTAACACCTAAGTTGTCTGCTAGAGATCGTATTTTTCTTCAGTCAATTGGGTTAAAACTTAAACCTAAATATTTGTAATTAATGGCGTGGACAAGTGCAAAGTTGGATGTGTTTGATGAACCTTTGTTCGACAATTCACTTGTGAGTTTACACGAACATACATACAAACCATATGAATCACCATACTACAGAAATTCCGATGAAATACGCATTCCTATTCACTTCCAAGATCTTATTCTTGACATTGCCGAAAGTTACATATATATATATTGAAATGATACGAGACTAGAAAGGAGTCGAGACTAGACAGCTATTCAGAACAATGAAAATAAAAATAAAAATTTTATACTATCCATTAAGTTTTAAGATGTAACTCTGTCAACTGAACCAGTAACCTTGAAAAAGATAATAAATAATTGTCGAAAGCTTGGTTTAAGTTAAATAAGAGTTTTCTTTCAACCATCAATTGACGACATCCCCAATATATAATTTTTTTGGTATATATATATACAAGCCAAATTTACCCCTAGCGATGCCAATAAAGTGTGCTACTTATCCAACAACGCATTAGCATTTTATTTCGATGAAATTCGTTATGAAATGGGTGGAGAACAAGTAGCCGTCATTCGAAAACCTGGTATAACAACAACAATGAAAATAATGGTTTCATGTGGCCAAATGCAATTAAAAACGCTATTATCTTACGGATGGGGACTAACAGAAGAAAACAAGATGTTTTTAGTGGGAAATTACCTCTAAAATATCTTATGGGTTTTGCAGAAGATTATACCAGGGGCAATTTAAATGTCAAGCAAGAGCTTATACTGATAATTCCCCGATCTTTTAAGAATTGCTATATGGGAGAAGTCGATGCCGACCTTGAAATTAATAAAATTGAATGGAAGATAAGGCATATTGTCCCTGGAGATATACAAAAATTAAAACTATTAAATCGTATTAATAAAGGTGGCGCTAATGCTACAGTTAAGATGGCATATCGTATGTGGGATTTATATGAATTACCAACACTCCGAAAAACCGCCACTGATATCTGGGCTATAAAAACAACAAACAGTTTAGAAAGACCTCGATATATCATTATCTGTTTCCAAAGTACTGATTGCTATGATAATAACAGGTGAGTCAATGAAACGGGATGATTTAAAAAAACTCAGAAAACATTAAAAGAACCATTTTTTGTAAAGTTTATTGATGAAAACATGATCTACAGGAATGGAAGTATTATGTTAGTGCACAATCGTTCATTTTTTAAAAATAATGTCCGAAAGGTGGCCTCCATTGTTTCGCACACATTCTTGCAGCCTCGTTGCAAAGTTCCCCATAACATTGCGCAGCATTTCTAGCGGTATTGCGGCTATTTCAAGTCTAATCATTTCTTTTAATGCCTGGATAGTCCTTGGGGGATTACTTTGAAACACTTTTGTTTTTAGGTACCCCCAAAGAAAAAAGTCGCATGCCGACAAGTCCGGAGAGCGAGGTGGCCAGGGAATATCGCCGTTCTTGCTCATAAGACGACCGGGGAACAATTGTCTTAGTAAACCCATTGACACTCGTGCTGTATGGCATGTCGCACCATCTTGTTGGAAAATCGTTGTTTCATTTCTGTAGTTCTCGATTGCAGAGAGATAAAAATTGTTCAACATATTGACGTAACGATCAGAGTTCACTGTTACAACGTTCCCAGCTTGGTTCTCAAAAAAATAAGGGCCGATTATCCCTAACGAAGAAACCGTACACCACACGGTTACTTTCTCTGAATGTAGGGGTCTTTCGTGTAATTCTTGAGGGTTATTGTCTAACAATACCGAAAATTTTGTTTGTTGACGAAGCCAGTAAGATGAAAGTGGGCTTCATCGCTCATCCAAAGATTATGCAGTACGTTATCGTTTTCATTGATATGCTCTAACGTTTGTTCACAAAACCTTAATCGAGTAGCGTAATCTCGAACGTTGAAGATTGCTCAATCTGAATTTTATATGGATGGTGGTGAAGGTCTTTATGCAAAATTNTTTAGCAAACTAACATTATTTTTGATAATGTATTGATTCCTGAAGTTTGATCGAAAAAAGTGGACTACCCTGTATATTATTATTATTATTATTATTATTTTAATCAGTAGTAGTAGTAGTAGTAGTAGTAGTAGGCTTCGCTTGCGGGTAAATAAATATAGAAAATCTTTTGTAAAAAATATTTTTTGTAAATAAAAAGTGTCCTATGTTACTT